ACAACATCCACTTCGTGAAGCTATTAATAAGAAAGCGCAAAGAATATCAATACCCAGCTGCTATGTGTTCAACAAATTCAGGAAAGTGTTCGATTACACTGAGCTGAGTTTGACACTAAACGCTTTACACGACTGTTGTATCAACCCTGTCTTTGTCGACACCACAGCCGACATCCGGCTGTTCGAGGAACCATGTCGAATCAGCATCAAAAGAGGAGTACGCAGAAGTGACACCTCCTCAATCAGCGATGGTGCTGGAATCTCTATTTAGCCGTCTGAACTGGGGCGGCGTCATTATCAACTAGCAACGACGTAGATTCGCTCGCCCATTGCTCTTCGCAGGAATTCCAACCAAAAATTGTGCAGTTGCTGGAAGTGGGTCAAGCGCCGTTGGTTTGAAGAAAGCCATCTCCAAAGAAGAAGTGGGTTCGCAAAGAACGCTGCCCCGGAGGTACCATCTTCACTGATGGCGAAGGAGTGGCAACGTCGCTAACCGCGCTTGTCTAGGACACTTTCTACAGTCCAACAACAACATCTCGAGCGAGATCATCAGAAAGAAAACAGCATTAAGAATTTTTAGTCACACCCAGAGATCTCTTCTGCATAATAAACTACTCATGTACAAGAAGAATGAACCGCTTGACTCTTTCGTCTATCACCAACAGAGAGGTAAAGAAACTAGCAATAATGCAAAAGACGGTAGAAAGGAAAATATACATCATCCCCTTCGAGACCATGTTTCAAGTCGGACAGGATTGCAGATGCAACTGCAAGAGACGATGATCTGGCCACACGGTTTTCCTGAAGTAGAGAACAGGTGCACACTCCGAGTTACGAACTGGATCCCCTCGGCAAATGAGGAAAGATTCTATGACAATCCAATCTGTTTGGTCAACATGGCAATCAAAGGGCACAACTGAGAGGAGAATGTCGGAATGTCGTCTGTGGCGTAGCAGCTGTCTGAAACTAGTTGGACAAAAGAATACAGGTTTAAATCCTGTACAACTCGGAGTCAGACACAGTTCATTTATCAGCGAAAGGAAAAGAGCATCATCAACAGCCTACATGTGGTACTGATAGGCTTAAGTACTACTTAAGCACTTAGTATCTGGGGCTCTACGTTATAATCTTTTTCTAATCATCTGCAGTCGTAGAGATTCGTATGGCGTTTGAACGGTCGGACGTGGAGCAGTAGTACAGCGCCTACTAGGCTACCTTCCGTTTCGAGTGATTCCGCCAATATGGAAACGATGGCGAAATCCCGAAATCCCTTGAGCGACCAATTTACTATACGTTGCTTCAGACCGGGGATGCTCAGCCGGTAGAACATCGGCCCCAGAACCGTGAAGCTCGGGTTCTAGCTCCAGTCGGGATCACACCCTTTTCTTCCTTCCGAAGATGATAAGAAACGAGTACCACTTTGTGGGATAAGAGTAGGAGACTACACGCTATGTTCGCCACATAAGGGCAGTCAACTCTGCCTTTAAAATAAGGCACACGTGGCTGATGAGACGGAAATTGAGATCAGCGCCATACCATTAATTTCATCGAAAAAACGTCAGAATGGTCTCTTTTGATGAAAGTGTGAGGAAGACCGACATTCCAGCGGTTGTACGCGTTCTGTGTTCGCTTTTTTGCCAACAATTCGTCAGACGCATGGGTGAATCTGCAAAATCGGCCTGCCGAAGTCTTACTCATGCTTTTTGCAACGACTGATTGATTATCCATTGATGTGTAATATGCCTTTACGGCAAACGTTCCTGTTTTGTTCAGCAGCTTTCAGTGATTCTGAAGTATGACTCAGGGACGCACGTTCGTTTCTGTTTTTGTCCCCCGAGAAGAATTAATAAGCGTTGGCGTTGGGCAGTGCTTTTCTCATGATGTTCGTTAAAAGCTGACCATTGGTCATCGTCAGTTGCGCCGTCGAAGGGAAAGCTGAATCAGACTTGCCCTTTTACATCGCAAGTTTGGAAGGGACGAGGAAATAAATGAAAATCGGTCACGTGACAGGTCTCCTACTTGACCTATCAACCTAACTTAATTATTCGACAACAAGCTGAATTGGATTTGGCATCGGAAGACTGGTGGTTCGAACCTTGGCCAGCTTACTTGTATTCAGTGCTTCAAAAGTAGATGAATGACACTACTGTGTGGAAAGGAAATGGAAGACTCTACGCTGAACACCTAGCTGAGACGGCCTTCAAAATAAGGTCCTTCTGGACCTCGGTACTGTTATGAAAAAACGATGCAACAAATGAGCAAACTTGACGTTCTAATGGTAAAAGCCTTTCCTTGCATCTGTCCGATCCATGTTTTCCCGTGTATGCCACTCGGTGCATCATTTCTAGCATGTCACTGTGATTATCATTGATTGCTAAACAAGAGATTTACCCTGACTAACTGCAATTTATCCAATTGAAATAATATCGCAGATTTGCCTTCAGCTGATTCGCCTTTGTACGATACTAACCCATGCATGGCTTGCATTTATGACATGGTCATGCACAAACACCATCCTATTGATCCAGCATAACCAGGCTTTTTTACGTCGTTGAATACCGCCTTTGTCACTCAGTCACAACAGCCATCTGTGTGTTACGGAAAGCACAAACACTGACCAGACAGAGGCTGGCTAAGCACCGGCCCAGTGACGCCGTTGAACGCAGCCACGGAGAGCTGCGGCCACGCAGTTGATCTTCAGCTGTCATCGACGTTGGGACTTGTCCATCGTTCAAGGAGCTGATTGGCATGCATTGCCCAAAGATCGATCTCCATTAGGCTTCATTGTGGCCGAGCTCGCGCGACGTTGCACAAATGGAAGATAGTTTTTGCGTGACTCCTGCCTGAAGCGTTTTATGATTATCTCTTGTGAACTGAAATCAGCTGTTAGCATGCGGTGGAAAAAGACGGCAGATGAAACGATAACGAATTCAGTCTCCACCGCCTCCAAGAGCCTCGATGACCAGGAATCGTTGAGCAACTTGAGGGTCGTCGTTGCACCGCCGTAGAGCAAGGAACAGCACCGCGTTCTTCGAACGATGGGACCGGCGAACAGTCTGAGATTTACCGTCTACTGATCGTCGGTAGAAGACACTTGTCATTCGGCGGTATCTGGTTCATTTGCACAACTTCCTTAGTCATGTCTCTTGTCATTTTATTCGTTTGCCTTCGGTCAGTCATCTGGTGACGATTCATGATTTCTTCCTGTACTCTGTCTGTAGTGGGGAGAACAGGTCGAAATCCATCAAACCAGTGAAAATAGCGGGCAGCTTGCTACTTCAGAACCAAGCATTTAGCTACGTTGATTCCATCCTGCAAGACAATGTGCTGGAAATCGACAGCGAGGTAAGAAATCGGTCGAAAAAGCTTGGTCCAAATGGACAGAAGTGAGCGGAGTACTTTGCGACAAGAAGATGCCAATCGGACTGTAAGGGAAGGTGTACAGAATGATAGTATAACCGGTGCTTCTGTAGAAGAAGAACGATTGGTTAGCCTGAAGAGAAGCAACAGCTGAATTGGGTAGAAATGCGAATGCTCTGATGGAGGTGTTTTGTCAGCAGGAAGGACTACATCCGAAACAGCTTCATGAGAACACTCTAGACGTAGCACCAATCTTCGAAATAGCTTATCGAAAGCAGGCTCTGCTGGTTGGGTCACGTGAAGAAAAAAGCCATCGAGTACGTTGGAAATGTGGTCCAAGCACTGACACTTGCGGGAAAGGAAAGAAGGAGAAGACCGAAGAAAAGGTGGCGCGATTTCGTCAAGAACTTATGAGACTGCTGAGAGTCTCTGAAGATATAGCGATCGACAGAATAATATGGAGGAGGCTGACTCGATCAGCAGAACCCTGTTAAAGTGAACGTGCTAGGAAAAGAAGAAGAAAACCGTGTCTGCATTTCATGTCGTCGCTTTGCATTTGTTGATCGCATAAGCGGAGGCAGTAGCCATTTGACACGGACAAAAAAGGCAAGTGTTTGACTGTTTTCATATTGGGACGCCATTAGTGACACGTTTTTTCCTATGAAACTTACGGTACGACGGAAACTCTGTTTCTGTGTAATCAGCCATGAGTGCCACGAAGTGGTACTTATTTATGTAAGCCTTAAGCATGAAAGGCGAGTGAATCGACAGGGAATCAAACCAGTGGCCATTCGACGAGAATACGTCTTTCGTTGCTGCTTGCTTGTAAAATCCGACAGATAGATCGCAGCTACGTTCATATCAAATCCCGTCGAAAGCATGATGAAATCATTTCTTCTGGACTTCTACCATCTGAAAAGAGAATCAAGACTCAATAGGAAGACGCATGCAGTATGCAAATGACGCTTGATGCACTATGTCACGAAACGGCAAGAAAATAATCCTCTGTGCAACTTCATTTCTTCTAAGAAATTCAGTAAAAAAACGTCGCATATGCTATAACTTTAGCAAATTGAAAACGTTTTTATCCGGTTAACTGCCATTGATCATGAGGAGGAAGAATTTCGATCATCAGCCTGACCTATGGGAAACGTAGACCCTATGCCTAAAAGTTAGTCATAAATTGTGTACCATCCAACGCAGCACAGAAACGTGTTTTGAGAACAACAAAAAGATGGGACGACGAAGAAATGGATGAGAGCACAAGCAATAGCCTGTGATTAAATATTGCCTGTGTGAAGAAGTTAAAGTGGCAATATACAAGACACACTGAAGAACAACGGCAGGGGTTACACATTCTGCTGATCATCACATTGAATAAACAGCTGTCAGATAGGTCAGTGCAATTCACGAGAAGAAATAACGATCGCTGGACCTGAGAGGCATTAAGCTGGGTTCCAAAACAGACTGGAAGGTCAGATGACCTCCTGGCCGATGACAGGTGTGTAAGGATTTCAACAAACATAAGTTTATAGGAGAGTCTTGGATAGGATCGAAAGAGACTGATGATGAAGATGCCAGAGAGTTTCACTGCCTTATCTATATGAAAAAGAGTGAAGTTTCTAATATTATGCATGACATTCAGCAAACGAGGTAAGGGGTCTTCTTCTCTAACTTCATCTTCATTTCCCATTATATTGTGGCATGCGGTGATCAGAGAATCAATTTTCAGTTGCCTCAAAGAAACCTATGCATTCTAATCCCACCTTAGAAAATCCTACAGAAGACAATTGGCCCAGCTTCCAT